TCTGACATATCTTCTGGAATATATTCTGACATATCTTCTGGCATATCTTCTGGCATATCTTCTGGCATATCTTCTGGCATATCTATCTGGCATATCTTCTGGCATATTTTCTGGCATTCTATCTGGTAAATCTTCTGGCATTCTATCTGGCATTCTATCTGGCATATCTTCTGGCATATTATCTGGCATTCTATCTGGCATATCTTCTGGCATATCTTCTGGCATATCTTCTGACATATCTATCTGGCATATCTTCTGGCATATTTTCTGGCTTCTATCTGGCAAATCTTCTGGCATTCTATCTGGCATTCTATCTGGCATATCTTCTGGCATATTATCTGGCATTCTATCTGGCATATCTTCTGGCATATCTTCTGACATTTTTTCTAACTTTCTTCTGCGCATTCTTTGTCCCATATCTTCCTACATGAGGTCCGGCAGGGAACACTTGGCGTGGATACTCGCGGTTGAGGTCCGGCAGGGAACACTGGGCCTGGATGGTCGTGGTTGAGGTCCGGCAGGGAACACTGGGCGTGGATGGTCGTGGTTGAGGTCCGGCAGGGCACACTGACGTGGATGGTCGTGGTTGAGGTCCGGCAGGGAACACTGAGCATGGATGGTCGTGGTTGAGGTCCGGCAGAGAACACTGTGGATCGCGGGTCGCAGTTGAGCAAGGACGACGAGGACGACGAGGACGACGAGGACGACGAGGAGGACGAGGAGGAGGAGGAGAGGAGGAGGAGGAGAAGGAGGAGGAGGAGGAGGCAACTGACATAAAATCTAACAACCCTCACCTGGCAGGTGGGGAAAAATCCCTTTAAAAAGTGCTTCAAAATCGTCTTTTTTTCGCTCTGGCGTCGAGATCCGGTTTTGGAGCTACAATTTCCGACGCCGTTGTGCGTAGTTCTATTGTGTTTTGCAACTCAGTCTCTGCAGATCGCATTGTAATGGCTGCGTCAAGGTTGCTTCGTGCTGTGGCTGCATTAGTAATACTATTGTCTTTTGCAGCTGGATCTCGTAAATCGTATTGGAGTGGCTGCATGAAGGCTGCGACATGGATTTGTTAGCAGATTTTCTCCATTTTGGCGCTAATGATTTTCTTTCTAAAAATCCTTTTAAAAAGTGCTTTTTTTTCGCTCTGGCGTCGAGATCCGGTTTTGGAGCTACAATTTCCGACGCCGTTGCGCGTAGTTCTATTGTGTTTTGCAACTCAGTCTCTGCAGATCCTATTGCAATGGCTGCGTCAAGGTTGCTTCGTGCTGTGGCTGCATTTGTAATACTATTGTCTCTTGCAGCTGGATCTCGTAAATCGTCTTGGAGTGGCTGCATGAAGGCTGCGAAATAATTTTGCTAGCAGATTTTCTCCATTTTGGCACTAGTGTTTTTTTGTTGCACGTAGGTTTAGAGCAGTGTGAAGTGTGGGACGTAAAGAGTGCAGTGTGAAGTGTGAAGTGTGAAGGAAGCAGTGGGAAGTGAGAAGTGTGAAGTGTGGAGTGTGAAGTGTGAAGTGTGGAGTGTGAAGTTTAAGTTTGGAGTGCGAAGAGCGCAGTGTGAAGTGTGAAGTGTGAAGTGTGAGGTTTGGAGTGTGAAGGAAGCAGTGAGAAGTGAGAAGTGTGGAGTGTGAAGTGTGAAGTGTGGAGTGTGAAGTTTGAAGTTTGGAGTGCGAAGAGTGCAGTGTGCAGTGTGAGGTGTGGAGTGTCGAGGGAAGGACACGGTCGGGACAGGTTGTCTTTGAACTATAGGTCATTTATGTTTGGGAAACTTCCGCCGCCGGCTTGCCCCGGTCTATGTTATATAGGCATATATAAACATATCAGTAGATGTATGTTCACTGAGATCCCAGGCGTGGTGAGGCACTTGGCCTGGCCAGGTGCACGTTCCGGAAGTGGATGGAATTTGTCGCATAGGGTGGCTTCAAGGGAAGATGGGAAAACTGGAAAAGTCTGGGATTTGGGATTTCAAAAGTTGATACTTTCAGCAAGTTTAGGATCAAATCCATAAGTTTGAGATTCATTAACACCCATTAAAACCATGGCTTTTGGTGGTGGTTAATGGTGTTGACTATTCTTTTTCTTGGGTTTTGATGGAGGTAAACACCTCCCCACAGTACTTTTTTGGGGGTTCAACCGCAACATGGCCCTTCAACCAATTCTGTGCATTTTATTTTGTCATGGTGAAACAGCGAACTTTCATCGGAAAAATATGGTTTTCCCCAACAAAATTGATGCTACCCCAAAAAAACGGTCGCCTGCAAAATGATATAAAATGATCCTTGAAATCAATCCCTGAGCCAGGGATAGCAATGGAAATCAGTCCCATGAAATCTCATCTGCGGAACAACAAGTTGTATCCTGTTCATTATGTTGATTCGGGGCAAAACAGGCTTCACCACTATCTGCAAGTCAGTGACAGTTGAAGCTGTTTAAAGATGCAATCAATTCCCTGTCCTTGCACTCCTCGTTGGGCACCACGTCTACCGAGGAGCATAACATATTGCCTAACGAATTTTGAAGCACTCATGTCAAGCAGTTTCAAGATCTCGCAGCATGGGGAAAAACTGAGTTCCAGACAATTGTGGATACAGGTTTGAGCGTCTTGGGATGTGCACCTGGTGTGCTATGACATGTCAGCAGCGTAATGGTACACCTCGTTGCTGGTTCCCATCGCAAAAACGTTGGCCAGCAGAGCATAATGAATCCTGCCAAGTAACCATTTTAAAAAAAAACGAGGTGAAACATCAACAAGCAAAACTATCAAGCGCTTAGTGCAAAGTGTGAGGGTCGTTTGTGAGGGCTGTACTAACTGATTCCAAGTGGCTCCCTCTCGCTGGGGCAGTGTGCTTCCTTGGAGCCAAGGTTTCACACAGGAAATGGAAAATATGGACATGTATCAATAGCCTGCATTCGCAATGGCTGGTAAGTCTGGTAAGTGGATGTTCTTCCAGAAAAAAGATTTTATATGATTTTATCATAGGTTCTGACATCTTGTGATCCAAACTTTGGCTCTGCAAGTACCGCGGGATGCTTCAAGTACCGCATCCCGGTTTCACGAAAAATGAGGGATGCTTAAGACCGCCAAGCTTCGCAAATGCCACCAGCATACGTCACAGACCTAAGAAGCTTGCCAGTGCGGAGCCAACAGTAGGACCATCCCTCAAGTGTGGTAACTCCTCACTTAGATTTACGGTATTAAGTGCAAGCGCCAAATTGGATGCAATTGAATGAAAAAAGAAATGTGTTGAGTTCAGTACCCCAGTTCGGACCAAACAACTTCTGACAAGAGCAAAGGAATGGTACATCTAGATACTACCTTGTGACAGGCTGTCTAGACCTATATCTATTCTATATTATATGTATTCTATCTCGATGGTCTCAATTTCGACCACTCCGCCAAATATATATATATAGAGAGAGAGATATATATATATATATACACACCTATACATATACATATACATATACAGATACAGATACAGATACAGATTCAGATACAGATACAAATACATACACATATACATATACATATGCATATGTATATATATATATATATATATGTACTCACGTAGAAACACATATATACAATCATATGTAGAGAGAGGGAGACGTACACAATATGTACATATAGACAGATTACAAACTGCAGCATAAACTATCCAACATATATAATACTGGCTGGTGGTTTCAACCCCTCTGAAAAATATGAGTTCGTCAGATTGGATCATCATCACTATTGGGGAAAATAAAAGCCATGTTCCAAACCACCAACCAGAATATCTATATAATTCTATATCTATATCTATATATTATATATATATATACATAGCATACATGTGTCAAGCCCCAACCTCTCCCTCTCGGGGTTTTTCGGGCCGAGGCCAGGACTTACAGCAGTCCGTGCGGTTGGCCACGTCCACCATCCCTTCCCGACAGGTGCAGTGCATGAAGGCGCTCACCACCTGTCCGCGTGACCGTGCTCTAACGCATGGTGCTCTGATGGCTGTGTATGGCTTTGTATATGTCAAATATGAAGGGATTTAACATGATTTAACCAACTTGATCAGCTTGGAACTACAAGTTTGGGGAAACTCAAGGCGTTTGAGGAGAAATCGACAGGACAATTGCGGTCTTATGGGGTCTTATCTCCACAACATCAGATCCCCAGCAAAATACAATTCTGGGAGAAAATGGGAAAGTGGGCAGTTGAGACATCTGTGGTCTTACTTAAAACTTCTTGGTGCTGTGACATGTCTATCGGCTCTGTTTACAGCCTCTCTCTCTCTCTCGCTCTCTCTGGCATGGCAAGTCTTACTTTTTCTTTGGCATACATGCCACATGTGCGCAGCTATGAAAATTCTACCTGCACATAAATCTCCAGTGAGTTCTGGGTTCAGGCCATCATGGCCATCACAGTGACTCTGAAAACCGGGATCTCGACATTCCAGTGGCTGGAGTGCTTTGGCATGTCCAGCCTGGATTGCCATGACACTGGGGAAAAAAAAGTCACTTTTTGGATTTTTTACCCATTCAGTGTGGTGATTGTCAATGTCCAAGTTGGATTGAGGGTATAGAGTATAGAGGTTGCAAAATCCTGGTGTGGGCGCAACTGAGGTCGCAGCCAACACTGCCTCGAGTGCAGTGTACACCAAAGTTGCTCAGCTGTTCATCACAAGAAAATTAATCATTCCAGTGATGAATGGAACAGCGATAAAGGTTCTTTAATCTACCCACGACGCGTTCCAACCCACAGCGAAATCCTCTAATCTAGCATGCCATGGTGTGCGTGTTTACATTTATATACATTAGTGATTATACATAAATTATATATACATGACTTACCCTCTGGTAAACTAACATAGCTATTGAAAATCACCATTTATAGTGGATTTACCCATTAAAAATAGTGATTTTCCATAGCTATGTTAGTTTACCAGAGGGTATATAGATGTACGTCGTTTCAAGCCACTATCAACCTGGCATAACCCGGCTCATCACGTGACCCCATCAATCCATGGGGGTCGTAAGCCGCCTGTAGTTGTCCCGCACCGTGGTCTCCCTGGCAAAGTCGGCTTCATGGCCTTGGCGCGGCCAGAAAAGGCCAAGGATGATGAGGAAAAGATTCCCCCAATGGGGAATATATATCAACTATAGAAGTGATATCATTAATTAGTTGATTATATATCATTATACAATATCAATTAATATCAACTAGATGTTCTTGATACTTGTTCTTGATATTGACTGTTCCAATGGGGATATCTTGCAGTTATTCTTAATATCAACGAAATTTGTATAAGAACCACTAGAAGAATAGCTGCAAGATCCAAAAGAAATGGATTGAGAAATGGTCGCTTTCCTATGTTGCGACAATACTGAAGTGATGCATCATTCCTTTTTTGTTGAAGCCCATGGAAGCGCTCCCAGTGTCTACGCTCAGTCGCGTACAAGTTCTATCGAGCCTGAAGCATGGCGCAGTCGCACCCGGACATGGCACCAAAAAGATGGAGCGCCAATGCGAAATTTGCTCCATACTGTCCCCGTTCCATCCAACTTAGAATAGTGGGTGGATCAAACCAAAAAAAAACAGTAGCATTTAATCAACTCCACAAAATATGGTTATAAAAACTGATAACCACATTTCTAGACAACTACAAACACTGATGGTCATTTTTAATCAGCACCAATAGATCAATTTAGATTTAAAAGTGGCCAAGATCGCAGTTGTGCGCAAACTGAGACATCCTAAACATTCCTAAACCCTTTGGTTTCCAACTGCCAGACTTGAGTCAAATGGGGGTCGACTTTAGCTACCCAAAATGGGATGCTTTACCATTTTCATCCATTTTCCAGAGCAAAAAAATGATCGTTCTGATCTTTCTGATCTTGACTCATATGGCAGTGTGTCAAAACCTTGTACCCCTGTAGTTCACATCAAAATAGCTGGTAAATGGATGTTCATCCCTCTAAAAATGGTATCTATAGGTATTGATTCATAGCCATATCCAAATGACCCAAGTATTTTTCGCCCCGCAGGCCACGCGTCTCTTCTACCGAGTCGGCGACTCTCCGGACTCGGTCAAAGTCTCGGCATGTGCCAAGAGACCTCGGGCGTCGAAAAATGTCGGATCCGGTCTGATCACAAGAACATCGGACCAATATGGACCAATACCCCAAAAAAATCGGAGGATATCGGAGGTATATACCCTCTGGTAAATTAACATGGACCCTGGCAGATAGGGGTTGGAAGACTCTATGTTTATCTACCAGAGGGTATACCTCTCTCTCTCTCTCTTTATCGCCCTCTCCAGTAGAGGATAGTAGAGGTATACCTTTGGAATCACCCTTTTTTATGACGTGTTGTTGACAATTTGGACCCATGAACCCGGCTTGGCAACTGAGGTCCATACATTTCATCACTGGGAAGCACTTGGAAGGGTTGCAATCTTGGTGCGTCAAACTTGCAAGAACGCCGCACCCAAATTCAATTACAGTATATAACTATAACTATTTCTTACAGGATTCATTGAAGCTCGGTTTTGGAGGCATTTCATCGACTGGGCTGCCACACTTGTACACAGATCCCTGGGGATGATGTATTCCTGTGCCTGCGGAAACATGGGAGCCCCATAGGCCATAGGGGGTCAGGAGCGCGTTTTTCTTCATGTATAATTATGATGTATATATCACTGCCTATATATCACATATAAATCTTATAACTTGTATTATATATATAATTATATATATCACTTGCATATCACTTACTATACATCATGTGCATCTATGACTTTATGTGTAAACTATTGCCGAAGGAAGATTGGCGGTCAAACTTCCGACAATATGGACAGATGGAAAAGCAGAGGCGGGAAGAGTCAGAGAAGAGAAAGGCAGAAGAAAGAAGATCAGAGAAGAGGTGCGCGAAAAGGAAGAAAAGTCGCGAGCTAAAGCGGTTCCTAGGTCTTCGTTCCTAGCACCTATTTTTTGGATGACTAGGTTGTTCACTGCTTTTGGAGATATCGGTCAGAAAACGTAGTTCTTGACCAAAGCGCCTACTGCAGGCTTCTCATGATTCCCCTGATTTGATTTTCATGTTGCACCTCTCTTATCCTTAGATTTCATTTAGGGTAAAAAGAGAACAGAATTGAAAGTAGATTGATTTGAATTGAAATCTTCCTTATCCTTAGATTTCTTTTAGGTTCTAAAGGAAAATGAATTGAACGTAGTAGATGGACATTAATTGAAATCCTTACTTATCCTTAGATTTCATTTAGGTTGTAAAGAAAAATGAATTGAAAGTAGATTGGCATCAATTGAAATCTTTACTTAAGTTGGTCATCCTGAATTCCCCAGACCCGGTCCGAAGAAAATTTTGAAAAATAGAATATACTATACATCAATTCTTTGAGAGGCAAAACCACTAATGTGGTAGACTCACTCCCCCAAAAAAAAACTTCCATTGATGATGGCTTAAATCTCACCCGTTTCCGTCGAGTCATTGGGATGGTTTATTTCAAAAAGCTGTGGGCGACGATGCTGCCTCGAAGCACATTGATGGACACTCCTGATGAGATTCGCGACATCCCACAGGACTTTCTTGGAATCTAACTGGTCATTCCGGGGTTCTTTATTGGGTGCATTGAATATTGGGGAAGCTATTTTCATATACCACCTCTTGAGGGTATTGTTTTTCTTCGAAAATTTCAAGGCCTTGCCAATGGATCCCAAATCGTAAATTTGGTAAATGGGTTCGTTTCTGGATCTTCATTTTTGGGCTAGACATGGTCGTACCACACTACCATGAACCAAACTCAAAGATCCCGAGGGGGCAACTACCGTTTAGTGCAGGAAGCCTCTGTTGCTTACATCACTGCAATGTGGTACACCGTCACACGAAGGGCGGAGACAGAAACAGAAGCGTGTCAGCCCGTCCTGAATGCATGTTGTGGCAAGCTCACTTTGGCAGTCTGGTGTGCATTCCTGACCAGCAGGCAGAATAAACCCTGAAGGTTACCCCCTTAAAATGATAAATTATGTGCTGCTAAAATGTATCGAAAACATTAGAAAACAACATCCCTATGGGCACCCGTTCTGTAAAACTCCTAACCCATCTTACTAAAAAAAAAAACTGAGGGGGTTAGCAAAATCCCGGGCCACCATTCTCTATCACATCTGCATAGCCAAGAAGGCTAAGGACCCGGCCAGATTGCACCACTGGGAAAAGGCGCCATGCTCGCAGCAACCAAGGTCTGTGACAGCCTGTCAGCGTCAGTCATCTGTGGTCGATGGGTTGAATGATCCGTACCAGCATGTAGGACCCATACTTTCACCACTAACCAACTAAGGTTTTGGGGGCATAAAAAAACCTAATTTTTAAACACTGATGAATTTAAACACTGAAGAATCAGTATAAATGTATTGAATAATTTCAATTTATTTAGTCGCCAGAGTCCCTGGGCAACAACTCTTCAACATCAGAAACGCTGAGGCCTGTGACATGTTGAGGTTGCACCTTAGAAGGTGCCACTGAACTTACTAGAGTCCTGCACGAAATGGTGGTCAGAAGCTCCGGTGCTAAGGCTTGAACCAACAATCCACCCACGCTTCGTACTCAGCACCTGCCACTCCCCAGTCCTAGGCTCGCGTTTGATCCAGCTGGCTGTCTGAAAATTTATTGGACACCCCCCTAATCATACCCTAATCCCCTTTTTTCTGTTTTTTTAATGGTAGTTTATCATAGTCCTCATTGAAATAACCATTAGGGGTATACCAGTATACCCCATTCTTGGAGCGACCCAAAGCATTTTCAAATGAGAACTGTAGTTCAAGTCCCACTAAGCCTTTGGCATGTGTAGAGTTGGCGGCCCACTTGCTCTGAAGGCACCTGACCACTCTAGATCACTCCTTGAGTCCTTGAGTCCAATGGATGGATTTAGGGGAAATCTACTGTAAAACCCTGTTTTTGTTAACCTCCAAGATGCCAAGTATAGGGGGGTCCTTCAGATTTAACTGAAATTCCAACCGAAATAAGGAGAGTGTTGTGAGTTCATGATAATTTGCCACTGAACTGCCCATGCGGCGGCTGTTGGCCTGTCATAATCTCCAAGCGAAGCAGTTGGAAGTATTCTAGCTGCCCTCAATCTGCACCTTGGTGGATTTGATGGGCTACATTGAAGTCAAATCTGAAAGCAGGTGAATTTACATGAGCCATGGTCAATACTCACTATATGGTTGATGGTCATCCCATCCATAATAAGGATCCTTATAATGGTTATTATAAATCCCTATGAACTATTGGATGACTAGCCCCTATTAATGGTTATTAACCATGAGTATTGACCACAGCTCACATAGCATCAACAACTCGGTGAACTCACACAAACGCCAATTTTTCAGGTGCTGACTCATCCACTCCTTGACTATCTCCTAAGGAGCACAAGTATCGACAGGCAAGATGTTGATTACCCTCTGGTAAACTAACATAACTATGGGAAATCACCATTTTTAATGGGAAAGTCCACTATAAATGGCCATTTTCAATAGCTATGTTAGTTTACCTAGTACTGCCCAACTTGCCGTGACCCACCAGGCATGTCCTTGTTGTAATCGACGCAGACTTCGTGAATGGCCATGATTTCCTCTCAAACTGTGACGTCGTGACTACCCGACTGGGAATCAAACATAGGTCCAGATGGAGGTTTAAATACATATATATATATAATACATCTGCAAATGGTGGATGTTCGATTGGCATTTTTGTTTGCCGGATGGTATGATAACTGGATAGCAATTTTTAAAAAATAGTACCAGAAATGGTATTGCGGTAAATGGTTGGCAAATCATCCCCACATTACCACATTACATTCTATCATATTCTATCTTTATCTTTCTCTTTTAACATTTATCTATTTATATCTTTCTGTCTATCCATCCATCCATCCATCCATCCATCCATCTGTGTGTGATTGTGTGTGTGTGCGCCATGGTCAAAACTCATTATATGGGCAATAGTCATAGGAATCCTTATAATGGAGTTATATGTATATATACTGTATATATATATATATACATATAAATTCCCACTATTGGGTTGGTGCCTATCCCAAATATGGGTAATTAACAACCAGTATTGACCATGGCTCATGACAGGGCTGCTCCAACTCATTGTGCGTAAATGGTAGCCACAAGGGGGGATAAATTGGTCGTTTTCACAGTTTCAACATGTTTCAACTATATGTATCCAAGCTACCCCTTGTACCTGTGAGCAACCCTGCATCCCAGATTTTTCGACTGGATTAGACCCTAGTCCTCCATTAACAACTTGAAGGCCAACCTTTGCATCAAGCTGAAAGGGACAGCCAAAAAAACGTCACTGAAGACCCCAAAGGACCCCATAGAAAAGCTTCCAGGGTGCCAGACAAACACTGACAGAACAATGATGTTTAACATAGACCCGGGCAAGCCGGCGGCGGAAGTTTCCCAAACATAAATGACCTATAGTTCAAAGACACCCTGTCCCGACCGTGTCCTTCCCTCGACACTCCACACCTCACACTGCACACTGCACTCTTCGCACTCCAAACTTCAAACTTCACACTCCACACTTCACACTCCACACTTCTCACTTCTCACTGCTTCCTTCACACTCCAAACCTCACACTTCACACTTCACACTTCACACTGCACACTTTCAAACTTCACAGTCCACACTTCACACACTTCACAGTCCACACTTCACACTTCACACTTCACAGTCCACACTTCCACTTCGCACTTCACACTTCACACTTCACAGTCACTTCTCACTTCTCTTTCACACTTCACACTTCACTTCTCACTGCTTCCTTCACACTCCTAACTTCACACTTCTCACTTCGCACTTCTCACTTCGCACTTCACACTCCACACTTCACAGTCCACACTTCACACTTCTCACTTCTCACTGCTTCCTTTCCACTCCAAACTTCACACTCCAAACTTCACACTTCTCACTTCGCACTTCACACTCCACACTTCACTCACACTTCACACTTCACAGTCCACACTTCACACTTCTCACTGCTTCCTTCACACTCCAAACCTCACACTTCAGACTTCACACTTCACACTGCGCTCTTCGCACTCCACACTTAAACTTCACACTCCACACTTCACGCCCCACACGTCCAACTGCTCTAAACTTACGTGCAACAAAAAAAACTAGCGCCAAAATGGAGAAAATCATAGAGCTTTGTGTCTGATGTCTGAAAAAAAATGGTCCAGAAAGTCATACATTCAACAAACCACAAAACTCCAACCCATGCTGCACAAGGCATTGAGAGGATCTCGGTGAGACCTTGCATTGACTCGCTCCCACGACAGCTTTGTTTTTTCACATGTATGCAATACGATCATGGTTGTTTGTGCGGTTCGTAACAACGCACACATAAACCAAAAGCAAGTGACAGAGGCATTCTGCGGTTCGCAAGACTAAATGAAAGGCGAAGCTACTGAAGGACAGCAATTCAAACTCGGATGCGGTTCATAACAACGCACACCCAGCCCTTGGCAGTCAAGCGAGAGTCGATCCCAATCGCTGATGCTGTCCTTGACCCATCAGCGACCAGCACGTCATGCACAACACATGGCCATCCAATGCCTGTGCAAAGTCAAGTGGTTATAGTGGTGAATTACAGGGATCGGACTATGGGAATTTATTACTTAAACTACGCTTGGCTTGTGCAACCGTGGCGTCTGCGTCACATCCTCAAAGATAACATGTGCGACACAGGCAGCACATAACTGCATACCCGCGTGCGTGTCTTGTGAGAGGGCACGTGGTTGTAGTGGTGAACCACAGGGATCGGACTATGGAATTTATTACTGGAACCCCGCTGGGTTTGACACAGGCAGCACATAACTGCAAACCCGCATCCAAGATCTGTGAAAACTCAGTTGGTTGTAGTGGTGAACTACAGGGATCAGACTACGGTAATTAATCACTTAAATGACGCTGGGCTTCACAGGCAGCACCGAACTGCATACCCGCATGCAAGGCCTGTGAGAAGACAGGTGCTTATCGTGGTGAACTATATAGTTAGGATAAGACTATGTCATTTGGCACTTCATATTCGAAGGCAATATGTGTGACACAGGCAGCACGTAACTGCATAAACATGCCATCATAAACATGCCAACGCAAGTCAAGGTCCTGAGTAAACATGCCATAACACATGCCTTGACATGGCAGGAAGACGGCTAAAACAGGCCAGGGTCCTCAAACATCCCGTCGCGCCGTTTTCCGTACGTGCGTTTTGTATCATTTTGCGCAATTTCATTCTCATCACTTGCACTGAAAAGTCATTTCATGTTCCTGTGCACACACAGGCACAGCAACCTCATCATCTTTCTTGCTGTTGAGCAGAAACAGGCACAACTCTTTCATGATCAGTCACCGGTGGGGTGGGCTGAGTTCATCACGTTATGTCTACAAAAAAAATACTTTACTTCGTGTGATCCCCACCATGACATTTATACATGTTCTTACTGGCACATCTTCTGGCATTCTATCTGACATATCTTCTGACATTCTATTTGGCATTCTATCTGGCATATCTTCTGGCATATCTTCTGGCATTCTATCTGGCAAATCTTCTCGCATTCTATCTGGCATATCTTCTGGCGTTCTATCTGACATATCTTCTGGCATTCTATCTGGCATTCTATCTGGCATTTCTTCTGGCATATATTCTGACATATCTTCTGGCATTCTATCTGGCATTCTATCTGGCATATCTTCTGGAATATCTTGTGGCATATCTATCTGGCATATCTTCTGGCATATTTTCTGGCATTCTACCTGGCAAATCTTCTGGCACTCTATCTGACATTTTATCTTCCTACATGAGGTCCGGCAGGGAACACTTGGCGTGGATACTCGCGGTTGAGGTCCGGCAGGGAACACTGGGCGTGGATGGTCGTGGTTGAAGTCCGGCAGGGAACACTGGGCGTGGATGGTCGTGGTTGAGGTCCGGCAGGGAACACTGGGCGGGGATGGTCGTGGTTGAGGTCCGGCAGAGAACACTGTGGATCGCGGGTCGCAGTTGGACGAGGACGACGAGGACGACGAGGACGACAAGGAGGATGAGGACGAGGCAGGAGGCGGCAGGAGGCGGCAGGCGGGCGCAGGACGCAGGACGCAGGACGCAGGACGCAGGAGGCAACTAACATAAAATCTAACAACCCTCACCTGGCAGGTGGGGAACTATATCCCAAGAATATATATGTATATATACATATTATATACATATGTATTTCTTAACTATTGTTGTTGTTGTTGTTGTTGTACGGGGATAAGACTATGTAATTTGGTACACGCACTAAACATGCCGAGAAACCACAAACATGGAAGGAAGACGACGCAGGCAGCACGTAACTGCATACCCGCGTGAGGCCAACATGCCGGTAAGACAAGCTTGCACGAGCAAGCCGTCATAAACATGCCAACGCAAGTCTACCAAAGCTTGAAGCATCTTCCCTCAGGAACATACCTCCTATATTTTCTTATTTAAGGATTATATTGTGGTTATTTCGAGACTATATTGATTTAGTATTACCCTATTTGTTTCAAATGCAGATGGAATTCAAATCAACACTTGTTGGGTTTTACAATAAACATGAATCATTGTTTGTCACGCTCTGGTGTGTTAAGATTTCCTAACATAGGGGGTAAGTCAGAAAAACCTGATTTTTCTCGAGTGAAACCAACTTACCCCACAGTTATCCTTAACTGACTCTACCTACAACTGTGAATAAACCAATCCCAAACATCCAAGTCTTGCCATCCGACCATTCCACCGACTATATAGAGGTATATTGGAGGCATGTCCCCGAGGGCAGATGAAAATTCCTTTGAGTCTAGGTCTTGAGTAAACATGACATATAAAACATGTCTTGACATGTCACCAACACGCACTAAACATGCCGAGAAACCACAAACATGGCAGGAAGACGACGCAGGCAGCACGTAACTGCATACCCGCGTGAGGCCAACATGCCGGTAAGACAAGCTTGCACGAGCAAGCCGTCATAAACATGCCAACGCAAGTCTAGGTCTTGAGTAAACATGACATATAAAACATGTCTTGACATGTTACCAACACGCACTAAACATGCCGAGAAACCACAAACATGGCAGGAAGACGACGCAGGCAGCACGTAACTGCATACCCGCGTGAGGCCAACATGCCGGTAAGACAAGCTTGCACGAGCAAGCCGTCATAAACATGCCAACGCAAGTCTATCAAAGCTTGAAGCATCTTCCCTCAGGAACATACCTCCTATATTTTCTTATTTAAGGATTATATTGGGGTTATTTCGAGACTATATTGATTTAGTATTACCCTATTTGTTTCAAATGCAGATGGAATTCAAATCAACACTTGTTGGGTTTTACAATAAACATGAATCAATGTTTGTCACGCTCTGGTGTGTTAAGATTTCCTAACATAGGGGGTAAGTCAGAAAAACCTGATTTTTCTCGAGTGAAACCAACTTACCCCACAGTTATCCTTAACTGACTCTACCTACAACTGTGAATAAACCAATCCCAAACATCCAAGTCTTGCCATCCGACCATTCCACCGACTATATAGAGGTA